TCCCGCCGCTGCTCCTCCAGCTCCTCCAGCAGAGCCAGCTGCTCCTCCTGCTGCCGCAGCACAGCCTCCTGCGCCGAGCAATCACACACACACACACGCACGCACGCACGCACGCACAGACACAAACATGTACAAGCACGCACATGCACACACACGCACGCACACACAAACACAAGCACGCACGTACATGCACACACATGAACAGGCACGCACACGAACACACACAAACACAAGATCAGTATTGTACATCAGTGCAGTCAGAGCTCAGTTCAAGTGTAGAAGCCTTCATGGAATGTGTGTGTGTGTGTGTGTGTGTGTGTGTGTGTGTGTGTGTGTGTGTGTTTCACAAACTCTACAGCTACAGTCAGCTCATCACAGCTCACAACTGTTAGGATCTCCAGCAGATATTAGAGAGAGGGACAGTGTATGTGTGTGTGTGTGTGTGTGTGTGTGTTCTGAGGTCACCTGTATGTGTGTGTGTGCTCCGCTCTGTCTCTCAGCCGTCTCCTCCACCTGAGTGTGTGTGTGGTCAGCGGGCAGCAGGTGTCCAGCCACTACAGCATCATCAGAGACATCAGGACCTGAGGGAGGACAGGTGAGCTCATGAGCACGAGTTCAGCACAGGTGAGGGTCAAAACACACATGCATGCGCGCGCACACACACACACAGCAGCAAGTATCATCATCAGCTCACCATCAGTGGTTGCCGGCTCCTCCACACCTGTATTCTGCTTCTCCTCCACTCCTGCGCTCTGATCCTCCTCCTCCTCCACACCTCCGCTCTCCTCCTCCCCTGTGCGGGGCTCTCTGCGGCTCCGGATGCGCTCCAGAAGTGTGCTCAGGGCCCGTCTGCCAGGGTCTGCAGAGGATTCTGGGAAACACAAACACCACTGAGCTCATCATCTGGAGCTCTGCACATGCACATGCACACGCACACACACACACACACACACACACACAGCTCCGATTGGCCTACCGGGAGAGTCTGTGGGTGGGGTCTCACAGGGGTCAAGGGTCACGTCCAGCTCCTCGTCATGACTGGCAGCAGACAGAGGCGGCAGCGGCTCAGGGACCAGCTGCAGCAGCCAGTCACCTTTGACCTCTGCAGGAGATCACATGATCAGCAGTCAGCACACCACAGACAAGACAGTGTGAAGGTGATTCAGACGTTCTTCATCTGTCATGATCACATGATCTACCCCAAATGACTGAGTGTTGAACCCTGAATTAAGCATGTGGGTTTGAGTGTGAACTGACCCTCAGAGCTGTAGTTACACCACAGGCCTCAATTCCTGGAGGGCCGCAGCTCTCAGTGTTTGATTAAGGTTGGAGCAGAGCTGCGGCCCTCCAGGACTCCAGATGTGTTGGAGTGTAGTGTACGTACTGCGCTGGTGTGTGTACAGGTCCTGGAAGGCGATCTCCAGGTCCCGCTGCTGCTGGTCCCGCAGCTCCTGCTGCCTGTAGAGCGGCTGGAAGACCTGCGCCGGGACGCTGTGGAGAGCCTGACTGCGGCGCTGCAGATCCGCATGCTGGAGACGCTGCAGATCACACAGCAGACGCGCTCGGTCCTACAAACACACACAGAGAGACAGAAACACACACACATGATGATGACGATGATGATGGAGAGGGTCTCAGCGCTGTACACACTCCAACACAAATGTCAAATCCCCGGACAGGACTGCAGATCTGCCATGGCCTGTACTGAGCACGGAGCAGATGAAGAGCGTGTGTCATGCAGCCGCTGCAGGAGCAGGGTTCATAAACTGTTTTACTACTAAAATTCCAGGACTTTTCCAAAACGTTCAGGTAAATATTGATGACTTGCTGCGTCATGTAATGTCTATGTGCAAGTGGTAAATAAGAAAACAATAAGTGATGATCCATGTAGTTTGCTTATTTTCATATTTGGATAAAAGAGTTTAGAGAACATCTTGCCGTCCACATACAAATATTTGAGAAATGTTGGCTTGTGTCTTCATAACACTTTCATTTCTGTGACTTTTCCAAAACATTTTGGCTTTGTTTGTTTTTCCAAAACTGTTCCAGGTCTGAAAAATGACTCAATTCTGTGACTTTTCCACATTTTCCAGGACCGTATAAACCCTGTAGGACTGAAAACAGCGCTGCACTGAGAGTTTGACTGGATTGCCCTGTTAAAGGGACACTCACGTTACTCATGTTACATCCACTCTCCCTCAAGCGCTTCCAAAGCTTTCCTTCATCTGTTGAACACTGAAGATATTGTGAAGGAAGCGGAGAACAGGCAACCACTGATCTCCATAGCAGGAGAAACTAACACTGTGGGAGACGATGGTTCCAGGTTTGTAACATTCTTCAAAAGTCTTCTTCAGTGTTCAACAGAAGAA